TATATATATGGTTATGGGACAATCATTCATAAATACCTGATAATCTGAAGAGAAAGACAAATGTGTAACTACATATTTACAACATAGCATGAAACATGAGTGTTTTTATGAGGAAAACATAATGGCGATCCATTAGTTCTGCTGAGGAAGTTAGCAGTGTGGAGTCAGGGAAGACCCTACAAAGGTAGAGCTCTTCAGCTGGGGCCTTAAGAGATAAAGGAAGATTGATGAGTTGGCTGTGTAGGAAAAGGGCATTCTGGGCAAAGTTATCTGCAATTTTAAAAGCACACAGAAAAATTATAGCCGGGAGTGCTCAGCAAATGAACTCAGTTCATTATAGCTGAATTTCAGTATCTGTGTGTAGGAAATTTATGACTTGATGTTAAGAAGGGTGGTCACAGGCAAATCATGAGGATCCATGCATGAATCATGTATAAGAAGGCTGATTTTCCAGGTCCATGGGGCCTAGTGGACTGTAAATCTCTCTCGCTCACGCTCTCGCACACATGCACACAGACACACAGACACACACATCATTTAGACAACAAAAGTACAAAATATACAATGCACAGATGTACCACAAGTCCCATGTTGAATCACTGGATATGAGTGACTCCTTGCCTTGCTACAGAAAACTGTTTTATTTGGGAAGGGTGTTGGTGCAAATTTTTTCAGCAAGCTTTGAGGCTGATTGTGGGTTATTGGCAACTCACAATTTTATATTTGTGGTGAATTCACTTTGTTGCATGTGTGTGTGTGTGTGTGTGAGAGAGAGAGAGACAGACAGAGAGAGAGAAAGAGAGAGAGAGAAAAGAGAGAGTATTACAGTCCACTAGGTCCCCTAGACCTGAGGAGATTCTGCTCCTCCTGGGGTATGTATGCTGGAACCAGGAGAAGTTCTCACACTGAAGACTGTGTCATTAAAATGATTCTAAATCATATCATAGAAGAATTAGAATGAAATAGAACTTTTATCTACTGAGAGTGGTGAACATTACAAGAACTGATGATGGCTCAGCCACACAAGAGCAAGAGGTTCCATTCTGGAGGTATAAAAGATTCCCAGTGTTTTGAGCTTGTAGGAGAGCAGAAGATGAGCCTATCAATTTATTAATTTTATAACGTGTTCAAAGCACATTACAAAAGTCACGTTGACACTTCTGTTCCTAGGGAAGTAACCACTCTAAAGAGCCTGAATCTTGGCCTTATTCAGTTTTATGACAAGTCCTTTGCAGAATCAGTGGAGATGGGTGACACAGCTGTCTCTGCACAGGAAATTAGTTGGGGGAGGGGGTGGGGACACTTGTCATAGCATATCCATATTCATATTTGCATACACCAAATTGAGTTACCAGATATGTTTAGAGAAGTCTGTCTTCTCGAATAAAGACGACTCAGTTATACTACCAGGAATTTCTGAAACATGGGAGTGGACTTACTCCTTTGGTATCTTTATTATAACAACACAGAATTAGATTGACATATGTTAAATTATTCATAAAGTTATATTATAAGTAATTTCTTCCTGATGAGAATTTTTTAATTAAAAATAATTCCTATATCTTCACATAGTGATAAATTTGATTCTTTACACCCAGTGTTTCATGGAAATGTAGGTGACCACAGACTGCATCCCTTTTTTCCCTCTCTTCTTTCCCTTGCAACTCACCTTGCTACATGTGTTCTTTTAAGATCTACTCTTTTTCTGCTAAGACTAGATTTCTGATTGTTCTTTCTCCCAATAGGTATCTGGATACACATTTTTTTAGGGACAGGGCAACTTTCCATTGAACTAATTTATATTTGCCTAGTGCATCAATTAAGGTACAGTCAAGTACAGGAAAGTCACCATGAGTTGTATGGGATAGGGACTTAATTATGGGAATTTGGCTTTACATGATTGTGAAAGGAGACAGGGAAGTGAAGGTCTAAGGGCTGTGGGAAGGCCAGAGAAGGAAACTCTAACCAGTTAATCTGAGAAAGCAAGCATCTGCAGCTGCTGAAGTGTGATTTGAAGGGGAAGTTCAAGAAGTCTAAGGAAGCTCTTGCCTTTGTGTTGTTACCATTTCCATTCATCTATTGCCAGGCATCTGAAGGTGACTGGTCAACAGGAAGGCATGCTAGACATGGAGTGGAACAGAGTGACGACAAGCTGGAACCAGCTGGGCATATCCGTGTCTATTTGTCACATATGACAAATGACTGCTTCAGAGAGCAGTGGCTACTGTTTCACTTTGCCTTCCATATCTCACACACATTTCTCTTTGGCCAATTTTATCCTGCCACCATACAAAAAAGGAAACTCTGGGAAACTTGGTTCTCTGTTTAACCCAGTACAAACCACCATTTTGTACCTCCTTATAAACTTTGCATTAGGTCATACCTCATTTGATGGTATTTAATTTCCATATAAGACAATAATAAAATAATTATTCTATCTAATATGATGCAATTATCTTCCATAAAATTGTAAGGATGCTAACCTTTTCCCCAAAAGAAAATGCAAGGTCCCTTGTGTCACTTTATATATCTTTAAGTGAAGTTTATTATTTTTCTAGTTGAGTCATACTTCTCCTTCGATAACCTGTAAATTTTATAGTGAGCCATAAAGCTAACAATTAAAAACACAGACTATTGCAGAGAGTAGAAGAACAAAATAAATAAAAAGAATGGGTTGTTAACCCCTACCCTCCCACCACACACACACACATCAAAGGAAGATGTACCCAAAACTACTTCAGATCTTGTTTCTGTCACTGGTTAAGTGGTTGTAGCTGCTAGGCACAATTTCATTCTTCTGCCATCATTCATTATTGTTTTTTGCCCTCAGCAAGCACGTTCCTTTGTCTGATGGGATGATGACCTCAGGATCTATGTCTTTAGCAGTCCTGCCTATATTGAGTTGCTGTAGTTTTCCATTAAATTTTATCATCATTCATGGTGGGATTAAGAATTTCCACAGACATACTCTACCCCACTGTATTGTAGCAAACCATTTCTCCATGAAAGGCAGTATCAATAATCTCAGCCAGTAGAATAACCCCCTTCTTTGCTTTTGATTGACTGGAATGAGGAGTCCATGCCATTCTCTTGCCTATACTATAATGTCAAATGAGTTTTGGCCAGCCCAGCTGCTCAGGTATCTACCTATGTGGATCAAATGCAGTGATCTTCAGGCCCCCATAGGCTGTCCCCAAATTTGCAACTGGGTCACAAATGTTTCCTGGATCCTGAAGAGGGCTGGGCATTTACTAGGCTCACTTATCTATGATTTCAGAAAAACTTGAGGGAAATGCAATCGACCCTTTGAAAACCAAAAGCAAAGCTGACTTTAAGGATTTTTCTCTTTTTCCTTGATTTTCTGCAGTTTTACTCTGATGTGGAGAAGTATGCTTTTCTCTTGTTCTGTGTGTGTGTGCGCGCGTGCTGAGTTCCTTGAATCAGTGGAGACTTTTATCAGATTGGAAATTTCCACTTATTATTTCTTCGGATTGTTTTAGTTTCATTTTCTCTCTCCTCTCTGTGGCACCAGTTACACATATATTAGGCCATTTGAATTACCTCACATCGTTTGTGTGCTCAGATCTGTTCTTTAAT